AAAAAAGGAAAAACTATTTACCCAAACATTTTGTTTACACAAATCCTGATTTCGTTGCTTAATTTTCTAAACATTTGTGTTTATTTTGTATGTGCTCCCTGTGCTACCAGATTGCTGGTGTTGTTGTTGTGGCTTAACAAACACAAAATTAAAGTTGAATTCTTTATTAGGATAATGATTACAAATCTTCTTAAGCTCAATGAACTTAAAGCATAGAGAAACAACACTTACAACTCATACTATAAAATTCAACATCTTGTACCATCATCTCCTTGTTGTTATATACTGGAAATAATAATACAATTCATTAGCAAAATTTGATTTTTCTTGATTTGATATCCTTGGGTTCTTGATTATTGCTGGCAATCTACTAAATAAACTTAAAAACCTACAACATATTTGGCATACGGATAAGCTGGATAAACAGCATGTTTATTTACGTGCGTGGGAGGTGGAGAGGTAGAAAACCAAAATCAAAAACAAATTGTGGCTAGAGATTAAAACAAATAAAACTTAAATGTCCTAAAGCTGTAAAAAACCCAAGTGGCCTCCCAGAATTAATAATATCTATTTGGGTATTGGCTATTTTTCTGTCTAGCTTTAACTTAGGATTCATTAGACATACAAATGGGGAGTAATACCAATCAATTGTTTGATAAATTGTAAGATTGTATTTGTTATTTTTGGGAAATCTATATAATTAATAGGCAAGACGATTTTTTGTGACCCCTTTTACTCTTACAGTATACATCTGATATTGGCAAAAATTATATCATTTTAAAGGTATTAGTTCGCAGATGTGCACAATATATATATTAATGAGATCGGTTCAGAATTTTAGGAGCTATAAGAGTTTAAATTTGTTACTAATACATAGAAACAATAGTCACACGTACGTATTCTTGAAATTAAAAACAAACAAAGCAAGAAACAAAACAAAAAAAGTAAACAACACGGCTTTTTGAAAAAAGAGAGGAGAGTGCAGAAACGTTTAACTTTTCTGTTGCTGTTTGATTTTTGTATTTTGCATGATATTTGTTTTTGTTGTTGTTTTTAATAAGGCTTAGGCAATGCGAAAATAGGATTTTATTGTTTTATATTTTTGTGTAAAGTGCTAAATTGTGAATGAGATAATGATCTATTTTGTTATAATATCGTTACGATTGGTACCAAATCGAAAGGAATATTTTTATAAGAAGTAGGACTTCAGTTTTATATTCAGAGTTTTCGATTGGAAGTTTTTCGTTATTTAAACTTTTCAAAATAGTTAAATTGAAGGACATTCCCGAGGAAACAACGAACTGGGAATATAAAAACATGCGTAAATAATGCTTGGGGACACCTAAAGAAATGCCAAACAATGTACTGATATTGGTGTTTGAACTGGAAAATTATTGGTAGGACATCAGTACCGGAATTCAGTAATTTTTTTTTTTTTTTTTTAATTTTAAGTATTGATATCTAAAGTAATGACAAATATCAGTTACATTAACGAATTTCCCTAACTTTTTAACAACCGTAGAATATTTTAAAGGCAAATATCGGAAAAATATAAGAATGTCAAAAGTTATGTATTGAAATATTTTTAAAATATAAAATTTTTAACATGAACTTTTAATTTATTTTTTACTTTTTCGATTATGTTTAACGGAAAAAATCGGTGAAATGAAGTTCAGAATACATACCACATATTTTAAATATTTTTACTGTTTTCACAAATTATTTAGAACATTTCAACTCTGTATTTTGAACAGCTAACATTTCTTTACTGGTGTGTACACTGTACAGTAGAGTACTCCAGCATTGTGAACGATGCGTAAATATGTAGGGGATAATAAGAGCGGGTTTTTGAGATGGTACTCAAATGCCAATTATTAATCAGATTAGTTAATCTAAAAATAAATTTAATCTTATGTTATCTTATTGATGTTTTTGAGTACAAGATTAAACTTCGCAGTGTTGCCATACAAAACAACAGAAAATGTCACTGTTTGTTATCAAAACAATGCATATTTTATAAAAAGAAGAAGACAATTGTAAATTTAGTATGAAAATTAATGAAAACTTAAATTAAAAACAAAAAAAATGTATTTTGAAGTGTCCATAATTTATACTAATCAATAAATAGAACATTTTAATGTTTATATTTATAAAAATTTTATTATTTTTTTTTGCATCAGCTGTTTACACTTTTGCATTTCGTGCTTAAGATTAAACCACTTCCATTGGGCGCTTAAACTTGCAAACAAAATTAAATAATTGAGTACTCAAAAACATCTTTCGAGGATTAATTTTAATTTAATGACAATTGAGGTTTTAAACTTCTGATGGAAGTTTTACTAAAACCCATCCCATTTTCTAAAAGAAAACATTATTCAAAGCAAATTATACACTTTGATAATATCAATAAAGTTAATTTTTTACCACAGATTTGAACTACAAAAATAGGATTTTATTTTAGCTTATTTATGCAATTTTTCCAGCATTGGTTCTGGTCGAATTTCGACCGCTGGGCGAACTCTAGTTTCAAAAATTACAATAGTGAAACCTTGAAAATTTTGTCATAATCTTACCAATTTTTTATATTTGCAATAATTTTTCACACAATTTTTTTACATTTTTACATTAACAATTGTAAAATTCTTATAAATTTAAAATTTTTCTATTAATTTTATTAGCAATTAATAATTTTTTAGTTTTTTCTAACGTTTTTTCATTCAAAATTTGCCTCCTATTCTTGAAAACAATCACAATTACTTGTTTGTAGCTGCCAATGCTATTGTGAATGAGTGTTAATAATATAATGGAGTTACCATGTCGTTTTTTTCATTTTTAATTAATTGGCAATATAATTTCCGTTAAATTTAAATGAAATAAGATCTACCTCTAGACAGTTTCCTTAAAACAAATAAATAAATTTAAACAAATCTATGGGAATCTTTGATTTAAAATGAAGTTTAATAAAATTGATTTTTAATAAAAGATTCTTAATAAAAAATTTATTTCTTAGTGAGTTCCTCCGGTGAGTTAGTGTTGTGGTCTATTATACCGGGGATAGTGCGATCGAATCTCATCAGATACTCTGGCCCGATGGGGCATTTTGTGAACATTTTGCTTTTTAGCGAAAACTTTTTTTATTGAAAATGATTATAAAATTTAATAAAAATCAGTATTTGTATTAATTTTGAATTTTTTTGTGAAAAATGGGATTAATAGTGAAAATTTGATTTGTAGTAAAAACTATATTTTTAGTGAAAAAACGTATTTTTAGTGAAAAAACGTATTTTTAGTGAAAAAATTGGATTTTAGTGAAAAATTAAATTTTTAGTGAAAAATTGGATTTTTAGTGAAAAATTGGATTTTTAGTGAAAAATTGGATTTTTAGTGAAAAATTGGATTTTTAGTGAAAAATTGGATTTTTAGTGAAAAATTGAATTTTTAATAAAAAATTGGAATTTTAATGAAAAATTGGATTTTTAGTGAAAAATTGGATTTTTAGTGAAAATTTGGATTTTTAGTGAAAAATTACATTTTTAGTGAAAAATTGGATTTTTAGTGAGAAATTTGATATTTAGTGAAAATGTGATATTTAGGGAAAATTGAATTTTTAACGCAAATTGGATTTTTATGAAATCAAATTTTTATAAGAACCGAAATTTTTAATGAAAATTAATATTTTTTGTGAAAATTTTCGATTTAAGGAAAATATCGGATTTTTCGATTTTTAGTGATAAATTATTTATAAATGGAATTTTTAATTTTTAGCGATAATTCCAATATTTTTGTGAAATGAAAATTTGTAATTTAGTAAAAAACTAATTTTATTAAAATTCTGTTTAAATTTGTAATTTAGAAAAACATCGAATTTTAGCATAAAATGGGATTTTGGTGAAAAGAGTCTTATGTAAAAAATAGATTTTATAAATAGTTTTTTTTTTGTATTTTTTTTATTGATTTTTGTAAAGACTTGATTTTTTGTAAAAAATATAATTTTTTTAAAAAATAGATTTTTGGTAAAAAAAAAATTTAAACAGGTTTTTGTAAAAATTTGATTTTTTAAAAAAAAAAATATTTTTTTTTTTTGTACAAAAGTGTTTTTTTTATTTTTTTTTTTTTAAATATTAATTTTTTGTAAAAAAATAAAGGATTTTGATGAACACTTTTCAATTTTAAAGAATAAAATTATACTTAAATGAAATATTTTATTCGGTGAAAATTGTAACGTTTTGTTAAAAATCGGTTTTATATTGAAAACTTGTATCTTCTAGTGAAAACCCAGAATTTTAGTGGAAAATATCATTGGCAAACAAATCTAAATTTTGTAAATTTAGTGAAAGATTCGGTACAAAATTTAATGTTTTGTTAAAAATCGGTTTTCTATTGAAAACTTGTATCTTCCAGTGAAAACCCGGAATTTACGTGAAAAATTTCATTGGCAAACAAATCTAAATTTCGTGAATTTAGTGAAATATAGAGGAGTACTTTATTCTCTCGATAAACTGTTCTGGATAGGAGTGTTTGGTGAGCATACTAATACGCTAACCCTTTCTCTTTCGCCGGTATCTCAAAGGAATCAATGAAATGAACCTAAGTGTTTCCCCAGATTTAACAGGGGACAAATACGAAATTTTAAGGTTTCAGATATCTAGTTTCTTTCATTTAAATTATATTGCAGTTTAACATGTTTTTGGACATCTGACCGGCCGACAATTTATACTACATTTTATTTTCTGGTTGACTTATTTGAGCCATATCCAAAATTTCTAATTGCATCCCCTTAGGTCATACTCTGAGGACTATCATTTATTTATCAACAGACGGTCGTAGAAACATTTAAAAATTAAAGATATACATTGTTTATCACTTTACTGCTAAATTTCGGAATATTTAATTCAAATTCCAATTAAGCGCTTTTATTTTGAAATTGAATTCTGGCAACTCTCTAAACAGCCGTACAATTACATATGTTCTACAGGGTTGCATTTCAATTGATAGATAAAATAAATGTCACTGCAAAATCATTGTGAAAAAAGAACTTCATCTAGGAGGAAAAATCTTATTGAATTGCTAAGGAAAAATCTATTTAAATTAAATAATTTTATGGAAAATATGTTTGAAAAGTAAACAGAAAAGCCCATAAAACGTATGTGTTAATAAAATAAATAATTATTTTTTATACATTTTAATAAAATTTAGGATTTTAAAGCAAAAGTGTGTTTCGATGTCTGTCATTGAATTCATTTTTTCTTCTCGTTACAGTAAAAGCAGAGAGCAAGAAGAAAAAAATCAAGGAAGAAAGAATAAAAACGAAAAAAAGAAAACCTTTTTTTTTGTAAGAAAATATTTTAAATATTTGCTATTTTTTTAAGTAAACAAAAACATAAAATTATAATATATAAAATTTAAACAAGTGCAATGGAACAAATAAAAGGCTCTTTGGGGAGCCAAATGCAAACACAGCAGCAGCAGCAACAACAACAACAAAATCAATCAAAGAAAAAATCTAAAAATAAAAAGAAAAGCTCCAAAAATGAGTCAAATACAGCAGCGGTGGTGACAACAAGGTCTAACGAGGAACAAGAACAGCAGCCAATTGAGGGGGTGTTGGTGGAAAATGGTCTAACAGATCAACTGAAGCAACAGCTGCATATAGGCAACGACAACAACACTAATAATAGTTGTAGCAGTAGTAGTAGCAACAGCAACAAGGTCAATGGCCTTATGACAGAAAATTTGAAAAAATCTAAAGCCTGCCCTCCCACTACTACAACAAATGATAAACTGCAACAACCTGCTTTAAATGGCCATCATGTGGAGGAGTCTTTGTCAACGACTAATGGTGATAACTCTTGTCCACCACAACAGGCAGTGAATAAGAAATCAAAACGAAAACCTAATAATAAAAAATTAAACACGTCTCTAGAAGATAAAGAAACACAACTGGAGAACGGACACTGCCCTGAAATGGTAACAAATGGTTTTAGCCACCAGGAGCCACAACAAATTTTAGCAAACGAAACAAAACTTAACACTGCCATGACCGCCGTCGCCGCCAACAACAGCAATGCTACTAAAAGCACACCTAGCAACAATACTAATGAAAAAACGAAAGCAGAAAGTTTAGAACCGCAGTCTAAGAAAGAGAAACCGGAAGATGGAAAAGCATTAGAAGCAAACGCTGTAGAGCCGATAGCTTTAAGTAAAAGTCCTGAATTGGATTTGACAAATGTTCATATTGAGTACAAGGAATATGAGTCTGAATTACAAATGCATGTAAGCCTAATTAAAAATTTATATAGATATTCGATTAATTCGTTTATTTATGTTTTAGGATATAATGCGTCTGATACAAGCCGAACTATCCGAGCCTTACTCAATCTATACTTATCGCTATTTCATATATAATTGGCCCAAATTATGTTTTTTGGCTGCCCATGGCAATGAGTATGTGGGTGCTATTGTGTGCAAGCTGGATATGTACATGAATGTGAGGCGTGGCTATATAGCCATGTTGGCCGTGCGCAAAGAATATAGGAAACTTAAAATTGGCACAACATTAGTGCAAAAAGCCATAGAGGTAAACGTAAACGTTGAAATAAAAAGAAAAAATTACTTAGTAGTAGATTTATACGTTATTTGAGGGCTTTAGAAAGTCAGAGAAAGGGATATATATAACTGGACTTATAAAGAAATTATATATTATGATCTATATCGTCTTACGGAAATGCTTTATTTCGGATTGAATTATATTATTCCCTAGAATATGTTGTCATTTAAAATTTACTGTTAAAACTACAAATTCGATCAGAACTTTAGCCAACTAAGAAGGAACAAATAACTATTTTAACCGAAATTGGACTCCTGTTTCTAACTTTTTCTTTTCATCCCTTTTTTAGGCCATGTTAGCCGACAAAGCCGATGAAGTTGTTTTGGAAACGGAAATGAGCAATTTGCCTGCTTTGCGTTTGTATGAAAATTTAGGTTTTGTACGAGATAAACGTCTTTTCCGTTACTATTTAAATGGTGTCGATGCTTTGCGTTTAAAACTATGGTTTAGATGAGATACTTAGTAACACCTCCCAACAATAATAACAACAAAATCAAACAAAACTTGTAAATCATAAAATATTTTTCTTTAAAATTAAGTACTTTTTTTTTTTTTGCTAGAGGAAACAAACACCCCATTAACTATTTAAAACAAAACATTAATAAATTCAGCATACATGTAACAAAAACTATACATTTTTATTTAAATATTAAACAAAAAACATTGGAAAAAAGAGTAAAAATTAAGGTTTTGGCAGTTGGTAATGTTTAAAAAAATATTTTTGAAGATCTTATTTCTAAGAATAAGATTTTAATTAATATTTAGTTAAAGCCAAAGCTGAAATATCTTATGTTTTTAGCACAAACTGAGTTAAATATTTTAACTTATTTTTTTATATATTTAATTAAAATTAAAAGAAAAACCTTGTGTGTAAAAATCAAAATGTAATTATTTATATGGAAATACATTTGGCAAATAAGAACAACAACAATTGTGTGTTTAGTTAAGAGATGTGATTTAGTGAAAAGAAGCAATTAATATTTTGGTCTTAATAACAAATCGTGTGGCATAAGAAAAAACTTTATATTAAAACGTGAAAATAAATACTTTATGTGAAAAAAAAGAAAAAATTTGTATAAATGTGAAACTGTTAGTAGTTTGTAAATTCTTTATAATTTCTTTTAGCATTAATTATAATAATTAGCTGCTTATAAGTATATTAAATATAAACCCTAAAGCTTTTTAACTAATTTCGCTTAAAAACACACACAAAATTGAACAAATTCTTTAGTAATATATGACAAAGTGTCTTAAACTAACCAACAATTTTGTGTTAATTATTAAGATTTTAACTAATTTTTATAAATTTTTAAAAATTTATAAAAAATGCTAAAAAATTTGTTTGAAATTTCTTTAAAATCTTAAGACTGAGTTAAAAATAAATAATTGAAATTCTTATTAAGATTTAACAAAATAAATCTAAAATTCTATAACTTTCTTTAAACAAAGTGTTTTAAAATTTTCTACTAATTTCTCCTTAAAATTTAAGTTGTAAATTTGCAAAAATATTTAATAGCCCCTTAAACCTATTTTGCCTAAAATAACTAACACAAGTAGACCATAATAAGCATATAAAGTAATAACTGTGTAATACATATTAATCATCATATTATAGTTATTGTAAGTTACTAATAAAAAACATTGTTAACAAAAAAAAAAAAAAGAGATTTAACATAATAAAGGGACTAGTTTACCTTTACAGTCCTTTACTAACAATGCCTTTCTATAATAATAACAAAACAAACAAAAATCTATCTCTTTTTTTTTAACAACTAAAAGATATTTGTAAACTTTTAAGTGCAGAAAACTAATAAAACAAAAAGTTATTTACTAATTTAGTAATAATAATGATAAGTCTTGTCGTAATGGTTAAAATTCTAGTAAGTTTCATGTAAATTTAAATTGAGTTCGTATAAAAATAAATCAACAAAACAAATTAACTAATACTTAAAGAAAGTGTAAATATAAATTAATTAATAAATAAATATAAAACTATATATGCAACAAAAACAAAACATGTAATAAAACTTAATTTTTGTCACAAAACTTTTGGGATAAAACGGAAAAACTCAAGTCAAATCTCTATATATTCCTGCTATCTTACATCTTCCTGCTATTTTTCCAACACCCATGAAACTAAAAAAAGTTTTTATGAAAAAAAGTTTTTATAAAAAAGCTTTTTATGAAAAAAGTTTTTATAAAAAAACTTTAAAAAAAGTTTTTTCTTAAAAATGTTCTTTCATAAAAAGCTATTTTATAAAAACTTTTTTTCATAAAAAGCTTTTAAAGAAAAAACTTCTTTTGAAAATCTTTTGTATGCATATGTATATGAAAAAGTTTTTCCTATGAAAAACTTCAAAGCCTGATTATTGAAAAGCTTTATATATGATAAAAATCTTGTTTATGAAAGTTTTTATAAAGTTTTTAAGAAAAAGCTTTTAATGAAAAACTTTTTTGTGAAAAACTTGTATATGTACATATATGAAAAAGCTTTTCCTATGAAAAACTTTAAAGCTTTATTACTAAAAAGCTCTATATATGATGAAAATCTTGTTCTAGGAAAAAAACTTTTTATGAAAAAAGTTCTAATATAAAGAAGCGTTTGCTATAGAAAAAATTATATAAAGAAAGCTTTTTATATGCAAAAGCCTTTAAATAAGTAAAGCTTGGTTTAGAAAAAAACAGTTTATATTGAAAAATATTATATGAAGAAACTATTTTTATATGAAAACAAATATTTTTATATAAAAAAGCTTTTTTATATGAAAAAATTTTTATTTTTTTATTAAACTTTTTATACGAAAAAATAATATTTTATTAAAAGAAAAAAAAACTTTTTAAAAAGAGCTTTTTTATATGAAACATTTTTTTATGTTGAAAAACGTTTCCTTTTATTTGGAAAATATTTTTTATTAAAAAAAAAGCTTTTTTATATGAATAAAGCTTTTTGTATGAAAAAAGCTTATTTATGCGAAAACCTATTTTTAATGTTGAAAAGCCTTTTTGTGTAAAAGCTGCTTTATATAAAAAAGCTTCTTCATGTAAAAAAGCTTTTTCATATAAAAATTAAAAAAAAAATTATTTTTATACGAAAAAGCTTTGAAACCCCATTTTGTGAAAAAGCTTTTTTATATGAAAATCTTTTTCACGTAAAAAGAGCTTTTTTATATTAAAAAAGCAGACAAAAATAAATTTGTTATATGAAAAAGCTTAAAAGCTTTCTTTTTAACTAAAAAATCCTTAGACCAACATTAAAATTTCAACTTATTTTCTTCCAAAAAAGTCCTAAAAATAACGTTAAAGCTTTTATTTAATAGTCACAAAAGAATTTCCTGTTTTCTTTATTTTTTTCTTCATTCCTTTTTTTTTGCGCAAAATAATTAAAACAACATAATTACTTAAAAGTATATTTGTTTTAAAGGATAATTTGTAAAACTTATAACTAAAATAACAAACAATTTTAATTACTAGTTTAGAGTCCAAGGGCAGGCAGTCCAAACGACATACTTAAAATGTCTTTAATATCCTTTCATCTACTTCTTTTAGAGCTTTTAGAAGCTTTCGTCGTATTCGAAGGAGCTGAACCATTCAAACGCATTTGCTTTAAATCCTGTCGTGCATTTGACTTTATGTTATCTATCTGTTGTTTAACCTGATTATTTTTCAAACCCATTGAGGTAGAGGTAACAGAATTGCCGGGGGGCGTAGAGGGCATGGTTTCTGTTTTATCAAATAGATCACTAACTTCTAAAATACGCGGTTTGAAAAACATATTCGGTCTGATAATAGTCTTTTCGGGGGTTTTAAATAAGTTTAACAGGCCCCAGGGTTCTTGTGACTTATCCATTTCTCCATTTTGATATTGATTCTCCACTTCGGATTCCAAAACCCAGGCTGCATTACGCACTTCTATGCGTAAACGTTCACATTCCTCCAAACTAACATTTTTACTCACATTTAACAACTGTTCCAGGGGATTTACTATATACAAGGCCGCATGATCTGGTTTCGCTATTGCTCTTCCCTCATTTAGGGAAATGGCTTTATTTTGAAAGTCAAATTGTGAATAGAACTCAAAGAATTGCAAAAGCAATTCACTAGTTTTACTAGTATTATTACTGCGAAAACCCAACGACTGAAAATCACGGGCAAATGTGCAATTTATACCATCCTCGGTAATGCGTATGTCTTCCTGTTTGGCCGATTTGATAAGGGTATTAATGGCGGGTAATACTGGTTGTTTGGTTTGTTGTAAAAAGAATATTACAAGACAGGTTAAAGAGAAATTGGAAATCCAACGTCCTGGAGAGGGATTGGTTAGACCACAACAGCTAGCCCAACGACGTATGCAGAAAGTAAGGGGCTTAACGCGTTCATCGAATTCACCAAACATGTAAAGAAGTTCCGACATATAAAAACCTGAACTGAAATTGATAAGTAAGAGAGGTAAGTTTTTAAAGATTAATAGTTATATTTTTCTTTGTAATAGATTTGAAGATGTCATGCCAATTCTGGATTGTAGGGTGAATTTTTTAACAGTGATGATGATTTGAAGGTGATTAGTGTGATCTTGATTGTAGTAAAAATATTGACTGATCTTGATTGTAGTTAATTGTAATTGGTTGTGTGTTCTTTAAATTGTTCTAGATTTGTAGTTATTACCCTAATAATGTTTTGATAGTGATATGTATTAAAAGTTTGTGATCTTGCCAACGCTAACGTGATCAGGAAAAGTTCAGGAAATCTTGAATCTTTCTTGGCTCGTTGTTTATATCAAATATAGTTGTCTAATATTGAGTTATCGGTTTTGTTAAGATTAATTTTAGATGATCTTTACATTCAATGATCCTCAAACTATTTTACATTTTTATCTGAAAAAATAGATCGCGTATTGTTTCACATCTAACTTGAGAAAGCCTTTGGTCCAAATTTTTAGTTATAATTCCAACTTAAGTCAAATTATTATGTTTAGTATTCAAAATTCTCAATTTGTGTCATATGTACAGAAAGATCATCAAGCCCGCTTCCGTGATCGGCATATAGTTTATGAAAATGTACTTGATATCTAAATGTTTGAAGTGATCTCCTTGTTCTATGCCTATGTAAACCTAAATAGAGTATTTTTAGTTTATATTTGAAGAATAGATCGCAAATTGTTTCAAAACTGATTTGAGAGAAGTCTCTTGGTCCAGATTTCCGAATTTGAGTCAAATTATAGTGATAATTTTGAAAAATTCTTGATTGTTGTTATATGTATTGATAGATCGTGATCTTGTCAGCTTCAGTGATCGAAAAAAGTTAAAGAAAATGTATTTTATATATAAATATCTGAAGTGATCCTCATTTTCTATACATATGTGATTGTAAATAAACGATTTTTAGTTTCTGTTTGAAGTGTAGATCGCGATTTCTTTGAAATCTAACTTGAGAAGTCCTTTGGTCTAGATTGGTAGTTTTTATCCGAATTTAAGTCGTATTATAGTCATCATTATTCAAAAATCTTGTGTTTTCCTATGTATTGAATCCAGTGTGATCTCCTACTCCCTCCTAAGAAGTCTAGATTCATACTTTTATCTCTACTGAAGTCGACTTATTATAAACTTTTTGACAGATCTTGATCAAATAGAAAGTGCTTGAGATCTTCTATGATTTCATTGCTATAATATGGGTATAATTGATTCCCAGAGATGTTGTTTTGAAGTCTATTTATGTCATCTTCATCTTAAAAAGTCCTTTGATGTTGATCAGAAGTAGATTTATGTTAACTCTATCTTCAAAAGTCCCCTGTTGTTGATATGATGTCAATTTATGTCAAATTCTTCTTAAGGAGTACCGTTGATTCTGATTTAATGCCGATTTGTTCTAATAATTTTAAAATAAACTGGTTTCCCCGAGAATTTTCGATGTCCCAATTAAAATTTGTTTTAAATTAAGAAATTTAGCTAAAATTTTCCAAGATTTTGTAGTCCTGTGTTTAGAATCTTCAGCATTTAAGAGAGTATATTATTAACAAATCTCTGCTAACATAAACTTACATAGAACTATCTCTATTTCTTAAGAGCTTAATGCAGTTCTGTCCAGTTAGTGTTAAAATTACTTATTGTTTACTTTAAACAATATTTATATGTACATATTTACTTTAACACATGTTTAAAAACCATAAACTTCCGAAATTCCGGATATGAGTAAGAGAATAATTGACTAATGATCTACGAATTATTAAGACCTTAAACAAAAAATAATGTTTAAACAAACTGTAAAGGAAAAGGGTCTGTCATAGTAATGTAATATTTTGGTATGTTCTCAGAAGCAGGTGTATATAGTCTACCTGTTCTGTTGTATATATTTTTGTATTACCAACTTCAATGATAATAATTTAGCAATAATTTCTATTATCTTATCTGAGTTTTAATGAGCTCTACATATCTTATCTTATCATTTATTACGATTGAAATGTAAAGCTTTTGTATTGTATGAATTCCTAAACACAAAGACCTACAATGCCATCATCAAATGGTTTAACCATAAGTGAATAACTTGAAGAAAATAATAATACTACAGTTACGAAAAAACGAACGAAAATTTATCATCGAAAAGCTAGATACAAAGCGGAGTACGGACTTTTTCATTTGAAAAACTGTTAATAAAATAATTAAATTAAAAACTTTTACATAAAAGGTGAAAAATATGAAAAAAAATTAAAAGTATTTAAAACAAAATTGAAAGAAAATTTTAAATATGTATATCAAACAAAAGCCATTAATGGAAAATAATTATAACAAAATTATCTAATTGTTATAAAATTAAGCAATTTGGAAGAATCTGTAATAAATAAAACAGCCTTGAAGTGAAAACTTTTAAGAAAATCTAATAAATTTTAAACAAATACAAAGAAAAATTCATAAAATTTTAATTAAAAAAAGCAAAAGAGAAACTGAAAATAGAAGAAAAGTGCGTCTTGAATCGAAAGTTTTTTAAAAACTTTAATCAAATTCGGATTTTTAAGAAGTTGGGAAAAAAATATTAAACTTTTTTAAAATATTGCAAAATAATGAACTCCGTTAATCGTTTTTGAGTTCTTAACTGGTTATACTCCGAAGAAACATATTGAGGATGAAACATTCTACTTAAAAGAGGACTTTTCTTTAGCCTTGCGACAAGTTTCAAATAAAAAATCTAAAAATTTTTTAAAAATATGTTTAATAACTTTCTTTGCTTCGTTGTAATATTTAACAAATTCTTACTAAAACAATGATTTATTTTCAAAATCTACCTGAAAAGTTATAGATAATTTTAACAAAAAAAAAACTTTATCTAATAAAAAAGTGGTTGCACCATACTTCTTGTAATGTATTAATCATCATTTGGAACAGGTTGTTTTACTGATAACGTACTATTATTTGCTAAATGAACAAATATTTTGCTGATAACGTTAAAAAAAAAACAATAAAAAAGTTAAACTCTATATACAACCAAAAGTTTTGTGACAAAATTTTAATAAATAAAAATAAAATAATGAAACAAATATAATTCAACAGAAATTGAAAATAATAATAAAATACTTAAGACTTGATATAAAAAAACGGGTGTGAATAAAATATTGTAATTTACTCTTTATTGAGGCAGTTGTAAGAGAGAAAAGAGATAGAGAAATTTCAGTACTTCTATAACTGAATGTTAAACACTTGCTAAACTCGCAATTTTGTTATAAACTAGACCTACAGTTTTGTTTAGTTAATAAATAATTAATCAAATTTTCACCATAAATTAAATAAAAATTAATTTAAATATGTTTCACTAAAAAAATTTCACAAAATTTCAAAAAAAAAAAAAAATGCATCAAAATTTCATTTGCATTTCTCCAAAAGTGTTTAAAAACTCAGAAAAGTTTAACTATTCTTGTAGAGGTCTTCTTCCCCGCCCACTTTTCTAACAATTTTATTGCTTAAACATAGTTTCTTACTCCTTTCCAAAGCAATTTTCTAACTTTAATACCCTTTCTTTACTTTTCAGCTTCTCATTCCCTAACCTCAGATTTAAACTTGAAAAATGGCTGCCGAAAACACTTTGGAAAAACAAATTGGTTGTATTAAATACACCCTTTTCTGTTTCAACATAGTAGCCTGGATGATAGCTACTTCACTATTTGCCCTCACCGTATGGCTAAGAGCTGAACCTGGATTCAATGAATGGCTACGCATATTAGAGGCCCAAGCCTTATACATAGGAGTTTATATATTAATAGCCACCAGTATTATCTTAATGGCGGTATCATTTTTGGGTTGCTTAAGTGCTCTTATGGAAAATACCCTGGCTTTGTTTGTGTTCATAGGCACCCAAGTGTTTGGTTTTATAGTATCCACCGTAGGTGCCGCTTTATTATTGCAATACAGCACGGTGCACTCTAGTCTACAACCTTTGTTAAGTGTTAGCATTAATCGTTTTGTTAGCACCTCGGAATATTCCTATTCTTCCTATGTACTCAATATGATACAAGAAAATATTGGTTGCTGTGGTGCCACTGGACCCTGGGATTATTTGGATTTACGTCAACCTTTACCCACCTCCTGTCGTGACACCGTTAGTGGTAATGCTTTCTTTATAGGTTGTGTGGATGCTTTGACTTGGTTCTTTGAGGCCAAAACTTCTTGGATTGTGGCTTTAGCTTTAGCCTTGGGTTTGCTTAATGTTATATGTGCTGTTATGAGTTTGGTTTTGGTGCAAGCCGTTAAAAAGGAAGAGGATGAGGCACGTGCTTATAGACATTAAATGGGGAGCACCACTTATAAGCTTTTTTTTTTTTTAAATTTTAAATATATTTTCATATTAATTTTAAGCCGTTTATACATTTTTAAAAAACCAGTTGCACAACACCCACAAAAAAGCCATAAAATGCCGAATGAACTTCTTTTTTACAAATATCATTTCTACTTAAGTTTTGTATTTAATATTAAAAATGAAGTTATTTATACAAATATTTTAATTAAGTTTTAAAAATAACACCATTATTTTGAATAAAATTATAAAAAAACTATTTTTTGAAAATTTTTCTGGTTTAAGAGAAGAATTACAAAAACGATATGAAAATGTGTTTTAAATTAGAGATAACAAGTTTTAAGAACTTTTTAAAAAGTACTTTTCGTACTTTTTGTTTGAGTTTCAGAACCTAGTGGTAGTAAATAGTAATAAAAACTTCAGGTTTAGATAATAACTTCTATGAAAATCTTCATCTGAGATGTCTAAATTGAAACTTTGTCATAGTAATGGTCGAATCAAGAAAATTTTATATATTTTGAGCCTTTTTCTAAAAAGTTCTAATTATTTCTGGCCATTTGAAGCAAATATTAATCGATTTTCATGAGATTTCCAATATGGATAATTTTAACAACAATTTCTTAAATGTTAAAATCTCCTTCAAAATGAATTATTATATGAATAAATAAGAAGAATTATAAATTGGTACTCACAGATTACTCATAGACAAATCTATCTCCAAATTTAAATGCTCATGATGATATTTAATAATGGGTACTCTGGCCTGCAGAATGCGTCTTACATGACACACACCCGGTAGGAATAGTTGCAACATATCACCTATACTTTCCATTTGTCTTTGTGTCTGAGAACGACCATTGGTTAGATTTTCTTTGGTATGAAAGACTAAACGTGAATCAGGTCGCTTTTTAGCTTCGGGACCTTTGCACTCTTGATCCAAACGTAAAATTAAATCTAAATCACAGCCCATTTTGCCAAAACCATTGACCGAGGAACCAAAAGGCAAAGCATTGGCCAAAGGAAACATGCCAACTATAGACTGTTGCACTTGATAGGCCGCAAGGAATCTTAAACGTATGCCCAAATCATTGAGTTTAGTGCCATGATATAATTCGGACATTTGTTGCTCTATGTGTGGACATTCCTTTAAGGTGGCATTCAAATCTGCCAATTCCACTATATTATTGCCATCCACTACATTTAAATTACATTTTGTACTTTCCTCTAATGGCTTACGTTTTAGAGCCTTCTTGCCGGAGGCTCTAAACCACAAAAAAGGTGATCGGGCCGGCACTCCAATCAACTCCTCATTGTAAGCCGAGGAATCTATGGCCTCGGATGCCTGTTGTGGATTTTCATATTCCAATAATATATAATGCTGGACATCATCATGCCTTACACAATAATGATGAGCACCCACTATATTACCAAAGGCGCTGCAATAGTTGTATAACTCGGGAAAAGATTTTTCCGAACTAACTTGCACCACCACACTACGAGTAGCCTCTTGCTGGCGCTGCAACACAAAGTCATCAAAAGACACTTTGTTGGCTAAAAACAAGGAATTTTATTACATTTAACTAAATAAAAAAATTGTTTATAAATTTTTCACACCACCTGCAGGTACGCCAACCGGTGTCGTAGAATATTTATTTTTTAACACATATTTTGAATAATTTTTTATATTACAACACTTTTTCACTATTTTATACATATTTTTCTAGCACTTTTTAATAGATTTATGCACTTATTTTTTCAGTTTTATTAAATATATTAATAAAACAAAACTAAATTTCAACCGAACACTAAAACACCATCCGCCTGTTACTAAAAATTGAGGTTAACTAAAACAGCTGTTGGAAAATTATCAAATTGTCAAACCCCATAGGAAATTTTACGTTTTTAAACAATTGCAAAATTTGTGGGTTTAAAGGTTTTAAAATGTTAAATGATGAATTAAACTTATATTTAAATTTATTTATTTATAATAATACTTATGTCTTTTTGTTTATATGTTTGTAGAAAGTAAGAATTTCAAGTAAATTTGAAAAGTTTGTTATTTTAACGTTTACCAACACTGTGAGAAGAGTGAATGTTAGTAAACGTTAAATTGGCGCAATAGCGGTAAACCGAGGGAAATGTCTGTCGACTTGTCAACTATATATTTTCAAAAAGCACTAATTCAAGAAAAAACCTCTTTAAATATCTTTAAATTTTAACAAATTTTAAAATTTATGAAAATTAAACAAAATTAATATAAATATGCAGGTTCTGATTATTTTTAATAAAAAACATATTAAAAATCGGTTTAAAAACTTAAAATTTTAAACTGTGACAGTAAACGTTTAACAATTTTTAAAGAACTTTTATGTTTTAATAAATCGACGAAAAACACTAAATGTGCAAATTTAAGCTTGGAAATTTTGAGCCCGCCTAAAGTGTTTTTATACAATAATTTGTTTAAATAAAATTATTTTTTCTTTAAGAATATTTCTGATTTTCTTTTATTTTTATTTCACAAGAAAAGCATTAACTTGTCATCACTTCAAAATCGGTATTTTCAATTTCCTTCTGAAAATTGTGAATTCACTGATTTCCTAAACATTTTTAACCAAAAAGTTAAATTTTGACTAATTACACTTTACAATTATATTTTATTTTAAAATATCAGAGATTTTACATCCCTGATTTACAAAAACATGTCAAATTAATGCAACAGCTGATGTAAACAAACACTTCATAGACTAGCCGCCAATAGTTTAAAAGTTAACGCTGTTAGAATATTTTTAAGATTTAGTTAAATTCACAATTTATTGCAAATTTTGTTAAATATTATTTTCAATTATATTAAAAATTTTAATATTTAATAATATAAATCGTTTTTTTTTTAATTTAAACCATTAATTTTATCCGGTCGTTGTAAAGCGCCAACTTCAGTTTTAAAATCAAACGCCGTTACATTGAATTTTGTTTGCCGCCGTTATCTTTTTTCCAGTTGTATTTTTTTATCCGCAAAAGTGCACGTGTGTTAGAATATTGTTTTATTTTCCATAAATTTCTAAATTGTTTAAACAAAAAATTGTGCAAATTTATTATATTAATAGTAAATAATAAAGTATATTTAGTTTTCAAACAAAATGGCTAAAGATAAAGTGTTTAAAAAGGAAAAACAAAAAGCTGAAAATAAAGCCCCCAAAAAGGCGCCAGAAAATGGTGTCTCAAAACCAAGCACAAATAGTGGCATTTGGCAAGATGAACGTTTTCAACATTTGGTGTCGGATCCACGCTTTAAAAGTCTACCCAAGCAGCAAAGAAAAGTTAAAATTGACAAACGTTTCCAGGGCATGTTTACAAATGATAAATTCAAAGTGAAATACACAGTGGACAAGTATGGCAGACGTGTTAACAAATCAAATGCGGAGGATTTGAAAAAGTACTATGAATTGGATTCTAGTGCGGAGGAAAGTGAAGAAGAGGTAGAAAAAACAGAAAAAGAAAGTGAGGAAGATAACTCAAATGCCGGCTCTTCAGATGAAGAGGAGGAGCTGGAGGAAAGAGAAAAGGAAGAAAAGGCTATTACACAGCAGCATAGTGATGCTGATGAAAACGATGCCTTGGAGAGTGATGGCGAGGATGTGCCTAAAACTTTGCGAGAACGTTTATTAGATCCTAATATTGATTATGCCAGAGGTGAAGGTCGCTTGGTAACCGATTCCTCCTCTGATGATGAATCTTCTGAAGATGAAGACCCCGAAATGTATATAGATCATGTATGGGGTGAATTGGCCAATGATGCTGAAAGCACTGAAGAGTCTACTAGACGCTTGGCGGTTTGCAACATGGATTGGGATCGTGTGAGAGCGGTGGACTTAATGGTGTTATTTAGTTCCTTTTTGCCACCCGGTGGCTCGGTATTAAGTGTGAAAATTTATCCCTCTGAATTTGGCAAAGAACGTTTGAAGGAGGAAGAGTTGCATGGCCCGCCTGAATTGGTGGGTTTGTCGAAGGAAGCCAAGCAACAGGTAAGTTTTTGGAGATTATTTTGTTTTATTAAGTTTTAGTTAAATAAACAATGTATTTACAGAAGGGATCTTCTAAAGCCCAAGCTGAAGATGATTCCTCTGACGATGATTCTGAGGAAGAAGACGAATTGGTTCAGGAACAAGACAGTGATGCTGGCGAGGGAGATGATTATCATATGGAAAAATTAAGACAATATCAACTGAATCGCTTACGTTACTATTATGCTGTAGTGGAATGTGATTCTGTGGCCACGGCCGATAAAATCTATCAGGAATGCGATGGCATAGAATATGAAAGTTCAGCTACTAAAGTTGATCTCCGATATATACCCGATGATACCAGTTTCGATGATGATGAGCCCTCAGATGTTTGCAATGAATTGCCAGATGCCAATAGCTATCAACCTAGACAGTTTACCACTACAGCTTTGCAACAGGCCAAAGTAGATTTAACTTGGGATGAGACTGCGGTAGATAGAAAAGAATTGGGTGATAAATTATCTGCCGGTAAATTGGATGGTATAAGTGATAAAGATCTAAGAAAAATAGTGGCTTATAGCAGTGAAGAAGAAGAGGATGAGGAGGACAGTGAAGAGGAGGAACAAGAAAGTGAAAATGAAAAAGAAATTAAACAAGATAAGAACAAATCCCAAGAAAATAAGGAAGACAAAAAAGTAAAAGAAAAACCCAAGAAAAAATCCAATAAGAAAGAAGAAGTTATAAACAAATACAAGGCCTTACTGGCGGAAATTAATGAAAAGGAAGAAAAAGAAAAACAGAAAAAGAAATATGAAATGGAATTCTCTTGGGAAGTAAATAACGATAAAACTAATCCTTTCAAAGATGATGGAGTAGCAGAAGAAGAAACTAAAAAGCCTCAAAATCTAACACCCATAGAAAAGGTTTTGCTAAAACGTAACGAAAAGAATAAGAAACGTAAAGAGGAAAGAAGGAAAAAGAAATTACAAACTACTGGCCAAGATTCAGAATCCGAACTAGATTCCATACCCGATGATATTGATATGGATGATCCCTATTTTGCAGAAGAATTTGCCAACGGAGATTTTATAGATCCCAAAACCAAACGTAGAGAAAAACAGAAAAAGCAACAGCAACTAAAGGCTGAGCAGGAGCAAGAAGATGAAAAACAGGCTAAAGAATTGGAATTACTGTTAGACGACAATAACGAGGAGGATGGCAAACAACATTTCAGTTTAGATAAAATCTTAAAAAGTGAACAAGATACTAAATCCAAAAAGAAACGCAGAAAACAACTCAAGAAATCTAAAACAGCCATCGAGGAATCACAAAAACCTATAGAAGACAATTTCCAATTGAACTTAGACGATCAACGTTTTAAGGCAGTTTTCACTTCACATGAATTTAATATAGATCCCACCGATTCTCACTTTAAAAAAACCAAAGCCATGGAACAATTAATACATGAAAAACTTAAAAGAAGACATGGTGATGAAAAAACTGAAAATCAAACACAAAATGATAAAGAATCCGATGAAAGTGCTAGTAAAAAACCTAAAAAACATACTGAAACTAGTATGTTAGTAAAGAGTCTTAAACGCAAGATACAAATGAAACAACAAGGCAAATAATCGAAAGCTGTTATTGGTGAGTTTGTTTCCTTTTCTTTTTTTTTGTTTAAACAAAATGTAGTTGTAGTCTTTTTTTTAGAGTTATTACAAAATAAATATTTTTGTTATTTAATAATTTGTAATAGAAATTACAAACAAGAACTTGAACATGTTACGAATTTTCAATATCTTTTCCAAAAGTAACAAAATTTAAAATACTGCATCTATCATAGAAAAACTCTGGCGAGATAATTTAGGTGACTATTTTTATAGAAACAATTTTGAGTGAATTTTTTTGTGTGAGTTTTTGTTTTAGAACAAACATTTAAAGTGAACATTTTTGAAAAAAAAAAAAAAAAAAAATTATTTTAGGAGACATTTATTAGGGAAACAATTTCTTGTGAAAAAATTTGCTAAAATTTTTTATTTTATAATTTTGGGTGGTCATTTTTAAAGAATTTTTTTCTGAAATTTAAAATTTTTTATTTTTTAAAGAAACAATTTTTTATAGCAAAATTTTGTGTGGACATTTTTAAAAAATTTTTCGTGAAATTTAATTTTTTTGCTTGAAATTTATGTATAAAAAAAGTAGTGAAAAATTGATTTTATTTGAAAAATAGTTTCGAGCGACTTTTTAGTGAAAAAAAAGATGAGTGAACATTTTGTTTGAGAAAATATGCTGTAAATATCAACATTTAAACAAAACAATCTCTTTTTATTCTCAATAAATCCCGCAATCTATTTAACAAAAACAAAGAACATAACTCTAGGCCGCTATGAATCATTTTAGGGGTTCTTTTTGTTTGTTGTCTGATTATTTTTTGCCTGTTGATCATAAAACTGAAATTCAAACCCTTGTTATAGTTTACACAGTCTTTATAGTTTGAGTGTGTGTATAAGAGTTTTCTCTTATAACCCTCTTACAACATGTTTTGTTTAGTTCTAAACTCAGTTTGTATTTTAGAGTTGAACAAGAAGCATTATTTTGGGCGCTAAGAAATGTTTTTAAAACTTCTCGTAAATTTCTTGGTGATTATATTATTTTGTAATTTTTTGACCTTGAATGCCAGTGATGAAATTAAGGTTTCCTGTAAAAATGAGGAAGGAGAAAATGTAGATTGGTGAGCATAGCAAGTACTGTTTCATTAAAACAAATTGTATTTACGGCCTTTGATTTAGGTTTTATCTCTACAAATTGCCTGCTCATTATTCAACTGATAAAACTGTGGATTATGATAAAACTGGTTTGCGTTATATGTATTTAACTAATGCATCTTATGAGCAATGGAATTTATCCAGTAATAGAATAAATGAAACTTCTTCTATGGTAGCTCTGACATTAGAACCTTTGGTAGCAAATCCTTTGGTCTTATTACTGGCTTATAATGATGAATTTCCCAATGGCCAAGTTATTTTCGATGGTGGCCATACTAAAGGAGTAATAGCTACTGATGGTAATACTGGCATTTGGTTAATACACTCGGTACCCAAATTTCCCTCGTTACCCAAATATGAATATCCCTCAACTGGGGCTCATTATGGTCAAAGTTTTCTTTGTGTTACCTTTAATGCTTCGGAAATGGAAAAAATAGGTGAACAATTGTTATTCAATGAACCGAATATTTATTATGAACGTGTGCCGGTTACCTTAAGTGAAAAATTTCCCCATTTGGAACAAGCCATAAGAAAGGAATGGATTTCAATGGAACCTTTTAACAATATACTCGATTTGAAGTCTTTACAGGGTATTAACTTCAAGTCATTCGCCAAAACTTCTAAATACAATAAAGAACTATACGAAGACTTTGTAGCTCCCACTTTGGACACAAATCTTTTGGTGGAAACTTGGCGCAATGGCAAGGGCAACTTCAATTCCAATTGTTCTCTCAATGATAATGTCTATAATATACAAGCTATAGAATTCAACAAACACAACATACAATTTAATACTACCCAAGATCACTCCAAATGGGCGGTATCGCAAAGTGTAGGTTTAAAATTCTGGCGTTGGCGTTTACCTTCCACCTCCAACTGGATATGTGTGGGTGATATAAATCGCCAACAACATCAGCTGCAAAGAGGAGGTGGTGTTTTATGCCAGCAGCAGAAAAAATTAGCCAAACTTTATAAGAAACTAGTGCAGCGCTACGAATCCTGTTCGTAATAAAACTCCGTGTAATTTAGTATATAGGGGTTTTCATTTTTATTAATTTATAAAGTAAATTCTAATAATTCATATGCTTAACTTTACATATACAATTTCTTTTTTAATTATAAATATTTATCTGCTGTTAGTCTTCTTATTTTTTTTCTACATAAACTTTTTCTCAAACAAAAACAGCAAAATTCAAAACATTTTCTTTAATATTTTCTTTTTCTTTAAATATAATAAAAAACTAATTTAATAAATTGTTTTAATACAAAAGTGTTTTGTGGGGGTTTCTTTTTCATTAAGTGTTAAATACATACAATATATATTTTTAAATAATTTTGGTTTAATGCTTTCATTTGTTATATAAAAAAAAGAACATTTTCTCTTTAGCGGAGTTACTTAAATAGAATTTTTCATTTTAAAAATATATAATAATTACTATAATATAATTTAGGGGGGTTTTTTACAATCGCTGTGTTATTTAACAATTAAAATATTAAACAAAACTTTGAAAAAAAAATAATCAATCAATAAATACAAAGATGGCAAACATCATTTCTTAACTTCGTAATATAAACGAGATTCTCTTAAGAGTTTTCTTTAATCTATTGTCGTCTTACGGTACGTTCTCTACTTTCTTCGCGGTGTAGACCATGTCGGGGAGGAGAAGTACTACCATTACTTAGTCTGGTTTTGCGGGATCTTTTAAATTTGGCCATATCCTCACCAAAAACATCACCCGTTCTTAAGGCCGAAATTAGATCATCAAATTCGCCTTTGTTGTCTCCTTTGGCGGGACTGCCTGGGCCATTGGATGATTTTAAACCCAAATTACGTGCCACTGAGGACATTAGACCCTCCTTGCTTTTGCGCTCTATTGTGCGTTTCTTTAATTCGGCTTCCTGCTTGGCCCGTTTCTCTTCCTCTTCTTGGCGTTTTCTCAAATTCTCATTATCCTGTTTGGCTTCGGCAAATGTAGTTAGGAAAGTATCGAATATACCAAAGAATTCATCGGGCTGTAAAACTGCACCATCTTCACCAAACAATCTAACAGCACGATCAAATCTTGTTTTCATATCTTGGAATTTATCTTCCAATTCTGCAAATCGCACAGAGGCTTGAGCATGGAATTCACGCATAACGGGTAAGAAACGATCGCCTTGTTGAGCGGGACCCGAAGAACGATGGAATTCAATTTCTCGGGCCACATCGGCTAAACCGGTGCGCAACATTTGTATATCTTTGTCCATTTCACCCAAAGACACCTTAGAGGCTTCTCTTACATGGGGTATATCTTCTTCGAGTTTAAGTAAATCTTTGAATTTCTTATCTATGACTTGAACTAAGAAATGTAAGAGTGTAGTGCCCTTGGCGGCACTTGATTTAGTATCACCCAAACGATTCAAAGAAGCCAAACGGAAGCCAGAAGCATTACCACGTGCTCCCCGGTTCATATAGTTTCCTGAGAAAAAAAAAAACACAAATTTATTAATTACTTTTCTTTATCCTTTGGTTTTTGTACTTACCTAAAGCTAATACCAGTTCCAGTAATTTTCTTAAACGTCTGGAGCGTGCTACTTCTCTGGAGGCTTCCATTACACTGGTTATGCGTGGTATTAAATCATTAACCGTGATCATGAAACGTTTCTTGTAATGTAAACTCTTTAATCTTTGTTCGTAATGGGGAATCCTGGGGAAAAACAAATGCAAATACATTAAAAAATCTTTCATTAAAACTTTAAACGTTTCAACTTACTTTGAGATTTCGTATAAGAAACGATCGGCTCTAGCCAAAGATTCTATATCCTCACTATGCTCATCCAATAAAGCTCTTTCTTCGGCTGAAGGAGTAAATTTCAACAATTGCTCTACCATATCCAAAGCTAGTTGTTCATTCGAATCCATAGATAATATGGCTCTAAAACAAAAACAATATAAAATAATCTTCTTTAAGGACAAGATCTGGGTTCTTAACTTACTTGGAGATTTCTTCATCTGACATTTTCAATTTACTCAATAGGATAGTACAATTTTGAGCGCGTCTACCATCAATAACCGATAAAACTTTATTGCGTGGCTTGCTGCCCATCATGCGCAGATCCTCTATGGAACCATCTGTGACTTGCTAAAGTTGGGAAGTAAAATATTTAATTATTTTATTGAAAGTTTCTTCCTCTTTAAAATAGCTGAACACTTACTGCTACACCATTCTTTTGATAGGCTGAGAATAGCTTATCTATTGACTCCAACTCAATATTGTTATACCATTTGGATTCGTCTAACTCACTCCAAACAGTACCTTGAACTTTGGCATCAGGAAGTTTGGACCAATTAAAACTCTTCAAAGGATTTGTAGGCTGTGGCACATTTTTCTTGGCTACTTCGGGTTTAGGAGCTGGTGGGGCTATAAAATTAATAACAAAATCATTATAAGAGTTTAGGGAACTTCCAATTAAACAAATCTTACCCATAGCTTGAGTCATAGTGGGTGGTGGAGGTGGTCCTGGACAAGGTGGCGGTGGTGGTGGTGCAGCCATCATGGGTGGTGGAGGAGGTGGTATTATTTTCATGGGTGGCGGTGGTGGTGGAGGCGAAACTGCTCCATTACAACCCGTTAGACCGGCCACCTTTTGGTCATCGGGTATACTACCCTCGGTAACTAATCTTTCCAAACGTGCTCGTTCCTGCTGTTCGGTCGTTAGTTTATGTTGTAAATCTTCCAATTTCATTTCGGCGGTTTGTGCTCTTTGCACGGCTTGTGAATGATTGGCTGATTCCTTTTCTAAACGTTCACGCATGCGTGCCAGACTTGTCTCTAAATCTTCTTTCTCTTGCATGCGCAAATCGAGTTCTTGTTCTTTTTTGGCTAAACGTGATTGTATATCGAAATTTTCCTTCTCTAATTCATCGGCTCGCTTGCGAGCCTGGGTAAGCTCTTCTTCTTTGACTAAAAGATGTACCAATTTGGAAACATTGATTTCCAAAGGTGATACATCAGGATCGTGTACAGGGGAAATAGCGGTTTTCTCCTTATTAGGATCGTCGGTATCAATATCACTGCGAGGTCTACCCTCGGTTTGTAAAACGATTTGTTGGACCACACGGTCGAACAACAACCAATGTTGGGTGCAGTGGCCAGTGTCTAAAGCAAAGATAAAATATTAAATATCTTTTCAAACTGGAAAAAGATTTAACTTACATGGCAGTAATAACATGTGTTGGAACAGTGACAACATATGAGGATAGGCTGGTGAATGACTCAGTTTACGTCTTAACAACTCAAACATGGCACTGGCACTTTTAGTATCCACATGCTCATGATCAAATTTACGTGCCAATTCTTTTTCATCCTCGGCTCTTACCATTTCAAAGAAGTCCTAATGAATACATAAAAAAAAACAATTAGCGAAACCCCTTCTACAATAATAAATAATTTAACTCACCAAATGCCGATCCAAAGTCTCATTTTCATGCTTCCTTAATTTATCGATAATAGGTTGTATGCCCATCATTAGAAATTCATAACGCAAGTGTAGCCTAAACTCTAGATTCTCTTGTCCGGGACCATAATTTAACACAGCATTAATAAAAGACATAATGGCGGTCTTTAGATTAACATCATCTCTATAGGCTCCTGTAGAGCGATCCAAATCATTAATAATGCTTTGGAATCTAGTTCTTTCGGCTGCAAATTCTTGGAAATTTAACATGGCCTGCAGAACTTTACGATGACCACCCGGCACCAAACAAACTGCACCCAAAATTTCCAAGGCCGCCACTTTAGTTTTAATATTATCGGCCGCCAAAGAGCGGGCTATAGTATCAATCGAAGTGGGATGAGCCAATACATGAGCTCGTCCAGTCTATAAGTAATTTAATTCCTCAATTATTTTACAAATTTCTAATGGTTTTTAATAACTTACCGAATTATTCATTAAAGCTTTAATGCAACCTATAAGACTAGTATGGAATGGACTATTCGCTACGCGTATATCCATTTTTTGCAATAGATTTAGCAGGGCCGGTAAACCCTCAAATTCCACAAATCTCAAAACAAAACTATGGGTCGAAGTTCTAAGAGCGGTTTTCAAAGCATCTAGAAAATGTGTATGGCTTTCGATGCGTGCATTGTATTCATGACAGGGAGAATCTTCCGGACTGACAGAAATATGTGTGGCCAATTCCTTAAGACGTTCCACATAATGTTCTGCCGTGGGTGGTTGTGTTATATTGCTAGCTGGACCGCCATCTATGGTATCCATGGGAGATTTACGCGAACAATATATTTGCCATTTCTTTTGGGGTGGTAAACTTAACATAGCCTCCTTATTGGGAGCTGTCAAATCCAATTCTTCCACTAGTTCAGCAAATTTTGTATCCAATTCATCTACCGAGGGCATGGGTTGTGTTGGTGTCAGAGTCTGTAGTGTGAAAGCTCCTTCAACCACACAAATTTCAGGTGGTTCGTCATCCTGTAATAAAAAAAAATTATAATGATTTCATTTTGTTTTGCAATATTTATATAAACATATGTATATGAGTATCATTTTAAAATTAATTCACTGTTAATAGTGCATAACCAATTAATTATTTGTAAAAACGTAGATAGACCACAACTAACAGAATATAAAAACTCCCATTAATAATCGACTTAAAGTGATTGTAAAATTTTTTTTTGTTATAATAACTCCAAAGAGGTTGTTGATTTGTTTGGCGTTTTTTTTTCGTTGCATATTTGCACCTAGTGCCTGCCAAGTAAGGTTTTTCTTTAGTTTTTCCTTAACAAATGAATGTGTTTTACTTAATGCAGCAAAATATAATCGATAAGTTACCAAAGGCTATAAATACAACAAACTTTGAAAGTCTTATATTGTCTGAACAATATATAGTTTATCTAACTATAAATATGTTTATAATATGAATTTCTAATACAACTCATTTTGTTGTTGTTGTTGATGGTTTTAACATGATAATATATAAAATGAACAGTTGTTTTGCCTATAAACAAGTTAGACGATTAACCCTTTATAGAAG